AAGGAAACCCCCACACATTTCAAAACGATGCTATTAGTATTAAAAAAAAAAGCACCGATCAACACCATCATGCATCTACAGCTGAGGGTTAAAGCCCAAAGTCCAGTAGTTAACTATTTGATCTTCACGAAATCAAGCAAGGACTTGATATCATCTCACGTGCAACAGTCTTTGCATAACACCCCATTTTATCCATGCCACAAAAATGGTAAATTTAGTAGTTACCAATAAATAGGTTGGGGGGGGTCAAAGAGACTAAAGTCTTAAACTGCTTTTATCATAAGATATCCTCAGACAAACCTCCCCATTCTTCATTCTGGCTCTATAAAATTAAGGAGCAGAGAAAAACTGTTAAGTGTCTTACTTTACAAAGAAAATGCACTCTATATTCCTTTGTTGTTATATATGTTTATAAAATAAATCCAACTGTATCATTCCCCCCCTCCCCCCCCAAAAAAAAAGTCTAGCTGAAAATAGGTATTCGACTGGTGTGGGGTGGGGGGAGTGTTCCAAGTACAGCAAAGAATGTCAATTTAGTAATCTCAGCATGTTGCACTTTAATTTTTTAAGAATCAAGTTAAGTATCGGTGGCATGTTAATAAAATACATTTTAAATTAAAACAAACACTAAAAACTGGATAATGGACAAATTTTTCTGGGCTTTACCCCCAAATCTAATTATGTATTCATACAACTGAATACCAAAAGGACTAAACAGAGTTCAGTCTAGAAATGTGAAAACTAAGACCCTTGTTTACTGAGAAGTAAAATAAAAGATATCTTTATCACTTAAACACATTGTCTGATATTTTAGTGATTATTGAGTACATATTTATGTTAAGGTCTCATTACTATCTATTATATGCTAATAGAAAATCTACTTTATCCACTACTGCCTACCCTGTTTGCCAATAAAATGAAGGACTACCTAAAGAAAACAAAGGATTACCTAAACAAATTACATGACATTTACACAAACTGGGTAAAAGGGAAACTAAAGAAATTGTTCTGAAGAAAACAAACATTCATAAGGACAGAAATGTATACTTTATACATTTTAAAAGTACTAAAATCAAAATTATTTTGGGATTTGCATGTATCTTTAAGCCAACAGATATTTTTATTATAAATTCAAAGCAATCTTCGGTGTTTAGAGGTTAGGTAATTCAAGCAAAAAACCTGACACCGAAAAGAAAAATCAAAACACAGCTGACCCTTGAACAATGCATTGTGTGGGTGGTGGAGTTAGGGCCACCAACACCACGCACTTGAAAATCCAAGTATAACTTCTGACTCCCTCAGAACTAAAGTTGTCTCTCAGAATCTTTGGGGAATTCGTTCCAAGATCCCTTGTAGATACCAAAATCTGAGGATTCTCAAGCCCCTTCTATAAAATGATGTAGATCGATGCATACAGTCAGCCCTCTGCATCCATTGACTCCCAACTGGAGGGTCAAAAATAGTACAGGTATTTATTGAAATAAAAAATCTGCATATAAGTGGACCTGCACAGTTCAAACCCATGTTGTTCAGAGTTAGCTATACATGAAAACTAGGTAAAAATTAATTAATTAGAACTTTTACAAATTTAATGCTGCATTTAGATAAGTATCTTTATAGTTCTATTTACAATTTTGTAAACAAAATCATTTCATGACACAGATTAAGTGAATACTTATCCCAAAATTATAAGACCAGAAAAGCTACTATAGAGGTAGGTGTTTTGATAAATCCAACAAGAAATGATTTGAAATATATTATTTATATCTATATATCCAATTTAAAAATTCCAACTATTGATAATTTGGAAAATAAAGGTTTCCAGTCCAAAAAATAAGACAGCTATCAACCTTATGAAATGTATTCTGTTCAATATAAAGAAACCTCCAGGAGAATGATAATTTTTTTTTTTACTGTAGTACTGAGAAACAAAGAAGGTGGTATCTAAAATGGAATGTTTAAAATATACGTAACAAGACACTACACAATTGGGGGGAGGTTGTGGGGAACAAGAGCAGTGTTTAAGATTTCACACAACTCTGGAGTCTAGCAGACCTGGCTTTGGAATCCTGGTTTTGCCAACTGCTACCTGGGACCTCACTGAGCCTCCACTTCATTTGTTACAAAGGCTCTCAGGATACTTCCTCAGGGCATCCTGAGGATTAGCAAGGATGCCTCATACCTAAGTGCTCAATAAACATTAGCTATCAATATAGCTCTCTTTTGTTGTCATGGTGTCCACACACAAACTTTTTTTTAGCAGTTTGTGGAATACTTCTCATCTTATTCCACCATCTATTATATGAATAAAATATTCAAATATTCCTCCAGAGATGTAAACATGATTCATGTATCAACATATAAATGAATCCTTTTTAGGAAACAAGTGTGTTGTCACCCCTAGATTTCATATGACAGTATGTTGGTGAATAATCTGAATAACAGGTGAGCCTGTTAACCTAAAGCTTCACTGTTCCATACAGACTAGCTTGGCTTCATAAAGGCCTTAACCTGCAATGTATTATAACTCATTCTAAATTCATAATGGACCAGCCACCTTCTGCCTTCCCAAGAACTGAATGGCTAAATTAAGAAAAACGGCTTACTCAGACCACTGAATAGAAAATGTCTTAATGTACTACCATTTTGGTTTATGTGCAAAACAATGTCAAGGTAGTCACTGATGAGAATTAGGGCCAAAGCCCTCTTCTAAAAATAAGGAACTGTTATAAATGGTCAATTTTTTTTACGTAGTGTGAGATAAGAATCACAGACAACCTATGCTTCTCTCTCCATTCCTACTGTTCCAATTAAAGATATAAAAATACTACCTCAAAAAGGGAGACATTACTTACTATTACAATACTTCAATGGGGGTACACACACACACACACACACACACACACACACACACAGTCTCACAAATAAATATGAACCTGTAATAACTTTTTTATCCCCTAGTACATTAAATACTCACAATACATGCTATGAAGTAAACTTAGCATGTCTGTCATACTGCAAAGTCTAGCAATTTCCCAGTAGAGGTTTTCCTTTTCTTTTAAAGAGGACATTTTTTTCATTGTTTTTAGAGAGAGAGGAAGGGAGAGAGAAAGGGATAGAGAGAAGCATCGATGTGAGAGAAACCGGGGACCGAACCCGCAACCCAAGTATGTGCCCTGACCGGGAATCGAACTGGCAACCTTTGGCTCTGGGGAACGACACTCAGCCAACTGAGCCACACTGGTCAGGGCTCCTAGTTGAGTTTAAAAAACAATCCAGACACAAGGAGGTATCAGTACCCTAAACATAATTCTCCAGAAAAAAAAAACATTAGAAGTTGAGCTTCAATAATTTTAAAAATGTTTTAAGGCAAATATAATTAATCAGGAAATGAATTTGGCGGAAATACCAGGATCTGATAGAACAGACTATAGTTCCATAGTAATGAAATATAAAAGTGATCAAGGTAAGGGACAAATATGGAAAGTTCCCAATTCCTGATTCTAGTTTTGACCTAATTTTTAGAAAAGTCTGATTTTAGTGAACAGCAAAACAAGGAGCTGCTAACTTTAAAACCAACGTTACAAGAGCAGACTATGAGCTTGTAGTCAGTGTATCTGATGTTAAAAAAAAATTCTCCCCAATGACATGTTTGCAGTCAATTAATAAACCACCATAGCAAACTACACATGTGGAAAAGGGGCTAAGCTCAATTCACTGCTGAACAGTGAATGGCATCAGGGCAGCCAACAAAATACTCCACTTTTGCAAGTACTTAACCACTGTCTTGGTAACTCAAGATTGCTACATGTACAAAGCACTGTCTCATATTTTATAAATGTATGGCCCAGATGATGTCATCCCAACTTTGAGCTATCTCCACAACTGACCCAGTCAGCGAATAATGCAGAGGAATTAGAGAGCTCCTCCCTCTCCCCACAGAGGCCTAAGGTTAAGAAGTTATAATGGAGAAAAAGAGATTTACTCTTTTTCCTTAGTTCACATTTCTGTTATAACAGAAGTGCTAAAAAACTGAATTAAACAAAACAAATGAACAAACAAAATATCCATACATATAGAGAACAACTGATGATTGCCAAAGGGGAGGGACTTAAAGCTTCCTTTAATAAAATAAAATGTAATTACCTTAATGAAAACATACTACATTTTTTATATAGACTAGTCCCTTCTTATGCTATAAACTTTGATTAAAACAATTATCACTAAAGCATAATTCAACTTGGGACCAGAATTAAGGTATCAGTAAGTCTTTAGAATAAGGTAGCCTCATCTACAAAGTTTTAAACTTCGGAAATAAAAGGTACAGAAGCATCAAATTAACCCAGAAGAACGGTGGAAATTAGAAAGGAAAGGGGGTTTATTAATGGCTCTGGTAATACCAAGGGAAGATATGAATTTAATCAGTCATTTGACAGAACTTGGTTTGTTATATAAGATCAAGGAAAAGGAAAAGTACTTTTTAGCTAGTTTTCCTAACACAAAACTAGAGGGGTTCTACAAAAAGTTTAATTGTAACATTATTTGCTTGGCTACATTTGCACTTAACAGACATGAGGTGAAAATATGAAATTTGGAATGAAAATACCATAATCTCAGTCAACTCCTGATTATCTACATTAATGAGAAAAGGGGTTATCTTATGTAATTCAGAACAATGGATGCAGAGTTCTCAAATTACTGTTAACTTTTGATGAATCTTTTCCCTTCTTAATGTAGTCTGTCCTCTATCAGTTTAGACTCTAGTGTTTTCGGGTCCAAAATGGACCAGCAATAAGATAGACCATCTTCAAAATAAATGACCCATCCATAGATAATGGAGTTGACGTGACTGGCACATATTCCAATCAATAAACTACACATGGACACTACATGCCAAGCATGCTTCAGAGTAATTTCTAAAACTCTAAGAATGAGGGAAGATGACTGACACTTCCTAAGAAGAGCAAAACATGCTAGTGTCTACAGAACTCCAAGCTTACCTCCTGCAGTAGGTCAGCCTGCTCAATTGCTTTGAGGACATTTTTCTTGGATGTCTCCTGAACTTCCCCTCCCAAAAGGAACTCATCCAAAATAAAATAAGCCTTCTCAAAATTAAAGATGATATCAAGTTCACACACCTGAAAAACAAACAAAAAATAATAATAATAAAAAGCAAAAGGTACCTATCAACCATCAGGTAGAGAATAAAATCTAACCAGAGTGAGTCCATCTAAATTCTTTCTAAAAACGACAATCTTGCTAAGTATCATTGATTTAGTCAGCTTAATTTTCAAATCTCAAGTACCTGAAAACACAAAGCCTTCACACTAAGACCTAACTCACAAGCTCCCAACACAGGCAACTTTTCTACTCATAAAAACTGATCTTTTAAAATACCTATTTCCTGGGTAATGCGATTATAGCTGCCAACAAAATCTAAATTCTTCATTAAGCACTTCTAGAGTATTACTCTTTGCAGTTGGACTCCTTTCTATTCCACCATTTTGAACCTCATTCTCACCACCATAATTAAATGAGTAGGTCTGTGGGGTCAAGTAATTCTGGCAGTTAACTGATTGACTAGGCACACAGACAAAAAATAGTCATTCTTTCCCTCTTCCGCAGTTAATTTCAAATAGTCAGAATCCCCAAGACAATCAAATAATAAACTTGTTATAGAAAAAATTAAAAAAACAAAATTATGGCATTCAATCCCTAAAACAAAATACTACTCACACTGCCAAAATACTTGTCAAGTAATTCCACGTAACGATGAATTATTTCCAAGGTAATCAGTTCATTGTCCTGATCCTCAATAGCACAGCAAAAATACAGACTAGCATATCTGAAACAAAAAACAAATGTGAAAAAAATTTACTTTATAATCATGGTTCCTTAAACATATTTTCATATCCTCTTATGAAAGACCCCATGTTTATACAATTGATTTCCTCTTTTTCAACAGTACAGATCATTCTTTTCCTAGATTACAAAAGCAATAAATGTGTAAGAGATACTTAGAAAAGTATAGGCAAGCAAAAAAGAAAAAAATCATTCAGTCACACATCTAGAAAGAGAAGCTATTTTGTTCTTCCTTTCTGGACCCTTTCTGCATAGACTCTAAAATGTAACTGACTCGGGTTGTTCTCGTTTACTTAATTAAAATAAAATGCGCCATATGACTAATTCAAACTACAAGTAAACAAGGAAGAAAATAAACTCTCCAACTGAAGGATTTATCGAAGGTATTGTCAACGTGAAGTCAATGTTCTAGAACGTTTTACTGAAGTGTAACATACACACAGAGAAGAACACAAGTCACACATGTATAGCTCAGTGAGTTCTCAAAGTGAACCTACCTGTGTGCCAGCACCCAGACCAAGGAACAGATTACTAAACCCCTGAAACTCCTCTCCTAGCCTCTCCAAGGGCACAACCTCCCACTCCCACAGGTAATTAGTATCTTTTCTAACAGCATAAAATTATTGTTTTTAAAAAGGAGGTTTCTAGGATTGTGGAATAAACCCCAAGAAAAAAACCAACAGTTCCAAGTTATCACAGAGGTTAGAGAAAGAGAACAGAGGAAACTGAGACCTCTCCTCAAAATTTCCAAGCTCTACCCTGTTGAACTGAAGTTTAGGTTATTCATCCTTGAAGGAGTAAGGTTGGAAAATTCACATTCTCCTCCAGATTAGCATTTTAGCACATGGTAATACTTAACCCAAGAAAGCCAAAACTATTATTATACAACTCTTCAAATCATAGCAAATGATGACCAAGTCCTTTGAGGATTAAAAAAGCATTTTTAAATGGTTTAAGGTTTTTGAAAAATAAAAACCTAAGATATTCTAAACAAATTTCACTTGAGATTGTAATTTTCACTGAGCATTTAAGTGATTTTTAGAAAACACAATGGGGCAATTACTGCTCATAGCACTGATGTAAAATATTATATAAATGCACACAATCTCAATTCAATGAGTTCCTGTTCTTCAGTATGAGAATAACTACTATTTACATAACAATCTACTAATTTCAACATTATCAAAAACATTTCATCTTATTTGATCTTTCCAACAGCAAGCACCACCATCCTTGATTACAGAAGACAAAGAGGCCCAAGGGTACAAGTCCTGCCAAATGGCTGTACTAGGACAAGAAATCTGATCTCCAGACCTTAACCCAAGGCCTTCCCATCTACCACACCAACATCCCTTGTCATTACATAGCATGATGTTTTGCCATGTCCATTCTACCTGACTTCTATGTTTAAGTTATTTAAAATGGGGGTCTCCTGCAACGTTAGAGAGGAGGTATTGGAATGCATTCATTTATCATGAAGGACATGACAGGGCACCGCCTCCACCTTTATGGAAGAGTTTCCTTCTCTCCCCAACCCCCGCCCCCAACCCGGCCCCGGCACTGACTTGTTTTTATGTGCTTCAAAGGTAATGGAATATTACAACTCTCCATCCCCCCAAACCCATGCTCACCAAAGAGTTTTGAATTTGGGGAAACTGATACAAATGGCATGTTAAGATGCCCTGAATTAAGAAAATTAAAGACTAAAAGGACTGACATTACAAATGGCAGATGAAAACCCACACATGGCTAACATGAATAGAGTGCTAAATGGTTCCATTAGGATGAATTCACTATTAGTTTCAGATAAAATTCCTTTTAAGATTTTTTTGTTTTTCTCACTTAAATCAGTTCAATTTACTTTCTAAGCTTTAAAATGCACCAATTATTTGCCCCCTCCCCACCGGAGGATGCAAAAATAAACAGTGAAAGTGGAATATTTAAATTAATACAATGTAATGGCCAAAAGGATTTTTAAAACTAAATTTCATCTGATAGTATCCTACAGCTACCAATATGTTGACAGTAGATAGGAATTTAAAACAAAACAAATCCAATCTGATCAAATCCACAATTAACTGAAGTTTTCATTTTATTCAGTTGTAAATAAAAAAATAGCAGCCATTGTTTTATACAATGTACTAAATGGTACCACGTTCAAAACAAATGATCTACCTAGTTTGTGCAAAACAAAAAGTTACCTTCTGTTAAAAAGGATGTGAACCTTTCAAACTTAATTATTTTTCATTCGTCCTAATTTCCAAGTAAAATGTGTGACTATGTCTTCCCTATGTGACTGTCTTCCACAAAGTCATCATATAGCCATTTTCAAACATAATCTTTGGAATATTCCAGTTTCAAAAGGTGTTTAAAAGTCTTGGAAATACACATTTACTATTTTTTTTCCTTGCTTTTGTCTTGTTTGCTTCAATATATCCATTGCATCAACTGGACTCAATGAAAAGATTTTTTTCAATGTCACTGTTAAGTAATTTAATGCTTGCACCATCTTTGCTCCTTATCCACTGTACTACCTCTTTACTTATAAAGAGCACTTAAACATTAGTTTAAGGTCTTCGATTATATGAACCATTCGAAAATAATTTAAATATCTCCAGGACTAATATATCTAAACCTGTGTGTGTGTGTGTGAGTGGGTGTGTGTATTTTTTTAAAAGGCAACACATATCTAAATGTTTGCTCTCATTCAGAATGGAAAAAGAGCCATCAAATTAAATGAATTCTTCATTGTAGGTGAACATCTACTAATCAGGATTATAAGAAGGTACACACCTCTTTCCAGAAAGCTTAGGAAAGAAATAGAAGCATAACAATAACATTCACTGAGTCCTCATATTTTACCATTTTAATTCTCACAACAACCCTTCCAGAGATATATAATTATTTATTATTTGCATTTGAGAGACCCAGGCTTAATTGAACAACCTCCACAGGAACAGTGATTTGACTCCAGAGCCCAAGTTTTCAATTAAAAACTACAGCCAAGAACTGTATTAAATAAAGTAATCCTACACCTGGCAAAAATTAAAACATATTAAAAGCAATATTTTAACAGGTTTGGATTGAGAGAGATAAAAACTGTTACATTGATTTAGTAAAAGATTACCAAGAGAACCTGAAGTGTACTCCCTATTTTTAGAAATAGCTTTTAAAAATTGAATAATGAGTTCATTTTGTTCTCTTAGTGCATATTTGTAAGTCTACATTTGAAGTAAAATAGTAGACTAGTAATAAGAAAGGTATGTTCGGTTATTTTTAGTAGAGCGGATTAAGGCTTACTCTAATTACCAGCACTCAGAGAACATCTGAAAGTTCCTATTCTTATATTCAAAACACATGACTTCTCCACAGTCAGCTAAATATCAGCTGATGGTGGGTAAATGTAGCTAAACTGTTCTCAATACCCACGGAGTCATTAAAAATTCTTTTGTTAGCAATCAGTACAGTCCTCTTTGACAAATTCTCAAGTTAGTAATTTGGAGATGCATGGATTTTTTTTTTTAATTTTAAGACTTTAACCTAATGCCTCTTCCATAACATGCTTCACAAAATAGGAATAAAAAAAAAAAGCATGCAATGTTCTGTCTTCAAAGAATCTGAAGAGCATTTATTTTAGAGATGAGGAAACAGAGGCCAAATGATTTGTTCCCAGCCACAAAACTAGCTAAGGGTGCAAATGGAATAGAACTTAAGTCCCCAGACTTCAGTCTATTTTTTCAGCTATACTAATTTTATCCTTACTCCCCACCACTCCCTCCGGCACAGTGAAATTGCTATGCAAAATGCTCAGGAGGGAGAAAAGTGGGAGACAACTCGTGGAAAGAAGACCTAGACAGATCACTTGCGGAACAACAAAAGTGCTAGTTCAGATTGCTCAGGAGCTAAGCAGCAATTCTTTTGCTTAAAAGGTCTCTTCCAGCTGGACTAGGGATAGATAATCACCTGTTCTTATCAACAAATGAATAGGTACTTAGGTGATGTTTGTAGTATGAAATGGGGGGGGGGGCGATATACTGGAAGACTGATTAAATTCTAACTTTTGCACATGCATTTTATCTCAATAAAGCCTTTTTTTTTTAAGTACACCTTTCATTTATAGGAACCTGATGCAAGCATCAGTCAGATTACATTACCCTTTATAACCTTTAAAAGGAAAAGCAGTGGCCCAACATGGGTGGGCTGAATGCTGCATGTAGGAACACCAACTCCTGCTTTCTATTCTTTCATTTAACGGGCCATTTCCTTCCGCTGCAGGAATCTCCATTCCTGGGATTCATTCCCTTGCTGGTATTTCCATCCTCCACACGGGGGACTCCTTCCCCTATCTAGAAAAAAGGCTTCAGTCTCTCACACCTTTTTTGAAACTCTGTCCCCCACTCCTATGTCTATGGGTGGTTACCACCTCGTCTGTCCTTCAGAACAGAGCTCCCCAAACAACCTACACTTTGTTTGAATCTCCACCCCTTCACCATATTTCTTCATGAGTTCTGTCTCTACTATTCCACTGAAAATGTTCCCACAAAGGGCATTTTATGAAATGCTCACTGTAGAATCTCAGGTTCTTTCTTCACTTTAATTGGACTTTATGTGACATTTGGCACTGGTGACTCTCCTCTTCCCCATGTTTCTGACCTTATATGCTCACCTTTCCCCCCTTTTCTTCCATCTTGCACACGGCTGATCTAACACATTATGCCTAATCCCCCAGCCCCACCCCCAGACTTCCATGCCTATGCTTGCCCCAACAAAACTAGGCATCTCCAAGTGGAAGTGGCACAGGCCTCTCCAAGGCAACTTGTCTACCACCTCACCATTCAGCCTGCCAGTGAAACCAGAAATGTGGAATCCCTCCATTCCTCCCCTTCTTTCGCTGCCCTCCCGGCTTCTAGCAGTGACCAAGTCTTAAAAAATTTACCTGAGTAACAGCTCTTCCCGCCGGCTGGGCACACAGCAAGATATCCTCCTTCAGGAACTCATCATAATGAGGTCTCCTAACAGATCCCTCAGGTTTCAGTCTCAGCCTCTTCCCCCCCGCCGCCCCCCCAATCTCCAATTACCAGGATCTGTTAAGGCAAATATGTTTTCAGCCCTATTTAAATCCTTTGTTTCCATGCTTAAGATTTGAGATGTAGTTCCTAAATCAGTTACTAACTAGCATATGACCTTGGACAAGTCACTTTTTCCAAATCTCAGAGGTTTTTAAAAAAATAAAATTGAAGTTTGAGCAATAGTAGTGACTTTCAAACTCGGGAACCATCTCCTATGCAGGGGGTAGAGGCCAAGAGAGCAGGGATACAGGAATCCAGTCTTTATTTCACAAGAGCACCTCCACTTCCACTTGTTTCATTTAGGGTTCTATGCTTGGAACAAAAAGCATTTTTAAAAAATCACCTGAAAGGTAATATAATGTGATATACCAATTTTACCTCAATTTTTAAAAAATCATTTAAATCACTTTACTAGATATTTTAAGACATCTTCCAGCTCTAAAATGCTATGATTTTTCTCAACAAGTACTAAACCAAACACTGGATACAAAATCACCCAAAGACGACTAAAACCATTTTATTGGAAAGAGGAGTTTACAGTTTTTTAAAATTCTCTCTGTCCTATAACCTCCATTACTTCCTCTGCCATGCCCCCCACAAAATACACCATGCACACTTGGAGTGAAACACAGGGAAGCTGAGATAAAACCCAGATTTCTCGGCAACCCTCCTGGCAGCCAGTGTTGTTAGTTCCCTTACACACACATTCCCCACAGAAAAGAATTTTGTACATGCAGAAACCCTCATGTGTTAAAAACTGCACATTATTCCTAAGGGCACAGAAATGGGGGAAAAAACAAAGTAATTATAGTTCTTTTAGCATAATTAGAATGATCTTGAGAAATTTATTTTAAGGTATTAAAAATTTCAGATCCTTAATAAAGATATATTGCATTGTTTAAAAAGCTTAGTGCTCACCAAAGATTTTTAAATCTATTCTTGGCAAAATTATCCATCAGATCCAATCACACCACCACCACAGCAACAAGTGTACAGCAAATTAATAAACACTACTAACAGATTGTGTATATACACAAAAATTTTGAATATTTACATGATTTAAATGGTCTATGTATTCAAGGTGTTTATAAGTGAGTAAGATTTTAAAAGTCAGATAAAAGGCACGTCAATGGTCAGTCATTACTTTACAGATTTTCGGAGAGAAATTTGGGGCGGGGGAATGCTTGTCTAAATTCAGAGAATTACTCACACAATTTAAAATACTGATCCTACTTTCCCCTGCAAAGAAATGAATTCTTTGAATTTTTCTACAAAGACGATTAAGCCATTAATTATATAATAAGTTGTAAAATAACTTCATCGACTTTATCATGAAGCCTCGGTAATCGATCAAAGCAATTATCTAAATTATTTAAAAAATACAAAACTTTAACTTAAAACTTTTCACCTAATCTTTGTTAATCATCATCTATAAATGTTATCTCTAAAAGTCTGCGATTTCTACATTGCAAATGACTAAACATTTGATTCTGCTATTTCACCTTTCTGAAAAATAAAAACTATACCTCTTGTAAACAATCTTCAGATCACGCCACTCAAGAAAGCTGCACATTTTAGGTTTCCGTGCTAAAACAGTTTGAACAAGTTCCCTTGTGATTTTTTTCTTCTCTTTGTCTGACAGTGGGACATACCACTTCTGCAGTCGAAGCTTTCCCTGACGACTAAAAAGCAACATAAACTGCATCTGTTAAGATAAATAGAATCAAAATTACATGCAATACTTTGATAAAATAAAGTTAGGATTAAGATGACATGTTTCACAGAGAAGCTTTGGGGGACAGGGAGTTTAAATGACAAACAATTAGTAGCCATCAATATTTCTATGCCAGTTAAAATAGCAGAGAATTCTTGTAGAATGATCTTCCCACCAGATGCAAATCTCCCCACCCCACCCAGTTCCATGTACGTTTGGAGTCTGTAGAACAAAAAGAAAAACATGCATTAAGTTGAAGTGAAATTTTTAAGGTAAGAGAAAGACAACTCTTGCAATTTAAGAAACTATCATCTATCTGTGCTATACACATTCCACACTCTTTATATGCATCAAAAAAGAATTGTTAATATCAACTCGTTTAGGTACATTTGAAAGAAAGGAAGACCTGCTATTTTTCACCCTGAGGCTGTTCTTGTCCCAGGATGAACTACTTGTAGGCAGGCTGCTATCACCTAGAATGCTTTCTTCAGTTTATGCTTACATATTTTATTTTATTTTTCAATTACAGTGTGCATTCAATATTATTTCCATGCTTACATGTTTTAAGCAAAAGAGCTAAAATATTAACCAAAAAATCCCATAAGCACACATTTTTTCTTAATAAATCCTAATTTTTAAGTACCTCTTCTCATCTCACTTCTAAAAAATTCCAACACAAACATGCACACAATAAAATGGTAATTCATCATGAGAGAGAATATAAACCTTTAAAAAGCCAAAATAAGAGTTACACACATTCAGAGACAGGACACAAAACACTTCATTTAATATTTTAAAAAACAGCATTTACAGATGGAGTGGATGCTGAATTCTAGTGTATTTTTTACACTTATACTATTGTGTATATATTTATTTGGAAACTGCAAATGTGTTGATTAGTCTACATGCTTGATTTTCAAGAAAAGCTTCTTGTAATTCAACTGGTCTTATGTGCAAACAGATAAGAATTGTTTCTACGAAGGTAATTTAAATGTAGAATTCAGACAGGTATTTTTTTCTTTTAACTATAGTTCCTTTAATAGTCTTACTGCAAATATTTCAGCCTGATTCTTCGTATTCAAACCACACCATCTCGAATTTGAACATGGGGTAGGGGAATTTACACAACCAGTTTAGAATAAAATGGACCCTAAATATAGCTAAAAAATTATTGCCACTTTTTGTACTAATCCAAACAGGCATCAGCAAGATATTTAGAAATTTATAATGCGGCAATTTAAAATTGGCTTATTACACCTTACTTAAAACACTTTACTGGCACAAAATTAACGAACAATATTCGTGGTACCTAACTGCTTCCCATACAAGTCCTGTTAAGATAGCGGCATTCGAAGAGGACAGCAAGTAAAGCATCAACTGGACAACGTTTAATGCAAGCCCATTACTACAACTTGGAAAAGAACAGACCCGTATTCCAGGATCTTGGCGACCAGGAGGGGCAGGGGTTTGCTTTCGAAAGGAGTATGGGCTTCAAGGCTGTCTGTAGCAGAGTCCTATATCCCCCTCCCTACCACTTTATAGCATGAATAAATAATTCACTCTTTAAAATACCGTAAATGATGTGCTAACATGGGACGAATAGCAAGGCACAAGTATTCTCTCCCTCTTGTTAAAAACAATGCTTTGATTTTACCGCCAATCACAGGGCACCTCAATTCCTCGAGACTAGTATTAAAAACAACGGGCTCGACCGCGGAGCAGGCTCGGGGCCAGCGGTCCTCGGTCCGGCTGTCTCCGATGCCTCTCCACTGCCCCACGGGGCCGTACTCCATCACTGATCCAGCCCCGGCGAGGTGACAGGCAAGGATTGGGGCAGACAATGGCATCCGCCGCCGCGCAGGGGGCGCCAAGGGTCCTCGACCGTCGCCGCCCCGGGCCGCGAGCCCCTCCCGAAAATGCCCCACAAAACTTGAGGGGATTCCCGGACCACAGGTGCCGCGGGACTGCCGCGGCGTCCGGGGCTGCGACCCCCGCATCCCGGGACGCGGACGCTAAAAGAAGTGAGTTGCGGGGCGCCGCGCCCCAGTGGCGGGCCGGGCAGATACGGGGTAGGGTGGGGTGGGGTCGTCGGGACGCGGGCGGGGGACTGGGGGCGCGCCCCACCCTCCCACCCCACTCCCGGTCCCCGGCGCCCCAGCTCTTCCCTCGGGACTTACGGCGGCCGCGGGCCGCGGGCGCGGCTGTGCTCGGCCGGCGTCGGCTGAGGTTGAGGGGAAGCCCCTGTCGCAGCGCTGAGGAGGAGAAGCCGTGTTGCTTGTGGGGAGGGGACACGGTTAGTGGAGGGAAGGCTCAGGCGGTTAGGGGAGGGCGAGTCTACAGACCCCGCCCCGGGGGCCGGACGGAGGAGGAGCCGGGGCTGCGGCGAGCGCAGGGGCGGGCCGGGCGACGCGCGGGAAGCGGCTCTGCTCTCGCCAACTGTACCGGAGACAGCCCAGCTGACCGCACAGCCCAAGGAAGCCGATTGGCCAGGTCTCTACCGAGAGGGGTGGTCTGGACCGGAAGCCAGGCCACGTGACCCGGAAGCGGCCGCTGCGGGAACCGGTGAGCCTGCGCACTCCTACGTCTGCCTTCGGGATGCGAGCGGGTGGCAGCTCCGGCTATTCGGTGGCGGGAAGACAGGGTTCTGTGGTGTCCTTTGCAGACCCCACTGTGTGTGGGGTAAGCAAGATCTGGACCGCGAAGAGCCTAGTTCAAGCTCCGATAATTCCCGTGCCTCAAGAGGGTGGTACAGGGAGGCGTGACAGCCGCTGATGATAATGAGGAGGAGAAGAGTGCTGCAACTAGGGAAAACAAGTCAGCTCTGTCGCGGAGTTCGTGCACGCGTTCACAGGGCTTTCTGCAATTATTCTGGCACTAAACTGTGCGGAACCTGGCCCCTCGTTCCCATCGCACTGCTACATTCCTATACACCTTTCACCCCAATCTGTACAAGTGTCTGCCCTGGGCTTTCCGCTCCTCTCGTCAGTGCTGTGCACGTGATGACTTACTGTCCGTTCTCTGCTGAAAAGCCCAGACAGCACCTCATCGTCGAGATCCCGCTTCCTAAACACGGAGACGCCCCTTTTCCCCAGCCAGCGGGGTTCCAGTTTAGCCTTGCTGTCGACTTGCTCTGCCTAGCATGCCCTTCCTCTCAAATGTCACATCTCTTAGGAAGCCTCACCCTCAAACCCCGTAAGAACGAATCCCTCTTTCACCCACATGCCCATTAAACTTCTTTTTAGCACATCTTGAATTTTATTCATTTTCCATCCCGACCTAGTTCACTGCCTGGTATATGATAACTAATAAATGAGTTGACTGATAAGCACTATAAAATGATAGATGTGTTACGAGCCTTGGTGCTGAGCATCGTGCCTGGCACATAATGGATGTCCTTTTTTTTTTTTTTTTTTTTTTTTGAATGAAAGAATGGATGAATCATCTAGTTCGTCTCGTCTTTTGCAGATGAGGAAAGAGGAGTCCCACAGGATTAGGTGGCCTTATTTGAACAGACAGGGGCTTCTCATGCCAAATGCTACTTATTACCCTAACCCATCGTCACCTAGGCTTTTTACAAAGGAAGCTGGAACATTGCTTTTGTTGAGCTATGCCCTTTTTGCACAGGTTCCCAAACAGTCGCCAGAATTTTTTAATGGCCCAAAGTGAAAAAAAAATGCTAAGTTTTTCATGAAGCTAAATATAATCAATTCTAAAGGAATTCTTTATTAGGGACTGTGTTTTTTGTGTGTTTAAGATAGTATATAATAGGAATTCTCATGCTCTTATTTGGCAAAATAAAACTGTATAACAGCTCCTCTTTTAAGCATTATTATGTTGCTTGGAAAATTTCCTACTAACATTATGATTAATATATACTGGAATATTAAAGAGGTGGCCCATGCCAAGCACAGGGCTAGCTTTCTGTAGGTCTTTAGGTCCCCTGCCCAAATTTCTCTCTGTTTACTAATCATGCCCCAAAGGCACATGTTAATGTCCCATTTCTCCCTTACTACACAAAACAGATGCCATGCCATGAAAGTGCGCCCTCTGAATCCAAACTGCTTTTTTCTTTTTCAGTACAAAACACATACATCCTGAAGGCTCCTCGGATAACCACCTCCAAGTTTAAATTCATTGATTATGCTCCTGATGTTGGTCTGTTGTTCTGAAAATAAGGATGGGAGACTTGCTGATGACATATTAGCAGTCTCTGGTGTTCCTAGCCAAGAAGAGGTGGGGGTTGGAGGTAGAGAGGAAAAGGAATTATGGGAAAAATAATTAGCAGCTGAAAGCAGCTATTACATAATCTTAGCTGCTTATTAATTTAGCAGAAGCAATGGCTTATTAAATTCTAATAGCAACAGCACAAATGCAAACAACCTAGCAATTAACAGCACAGAGCCCATTATTTTGTTAGTATGGTCTCTTCTTTTGGCAAGTGTATAAGAACAAAATTTATAGAAGCAGATGGTCTTTTTCAGTAGATTATAGATGGTTTATTCCTCAGTCTTAGTATTAAGTGCTAATTGCACATTCACCGTGAAAAACAAAAGAAGCTCTGTTACTGTCTTTGTTAGTAATTAATCACTTGACTTTGATTCCTACAATTTTTAAATTGTGGGCTTTGTTATATACATATTTCTTCTCACCTCGTATGTTCTTCATTTATCATGTTAATAGGGTATCTTTTTTAATCTGCTTTTGTTATCTGGGTGGTCTTGATTTCTTAGTTGTTAATAATGGTATGAAATTTTTTAAGAAAAGTTAAAAATCAGGTTTTATACTTGTTTTTTTGTACAAAAGACATTTATTATATAACCATTTTTCATGGAACAAGAACATGTAGTTTCTTGCTGCTAGGCTGCCTGATGTTCCTGGTTTCAATGGCCCAGGTAGGGAAAGGAAAATTCAACAAAGTCAGGAGAGAGAACAGATTTATCCTCAAATAGGAAAGATAACTTCGTCCCACATGTACAGAAGGAAAAGAATTGAAGTGTATTTGATAACTTGCCTTCTATTTAATCTTTATTGAGATATAATTGACATGTAACATTATGTTAGTTTCAAATGTACAATATAATGATGATGATATGTATATCAAAATGATCACCACAATCAGTTTAGGTATCATCACTTCTTCCTAAATTTTAAGAAGTGCCTAGCTTTCATTTACTCTAAATGCAAGAGGTAAGGGTAAAATAGGGAGTCTACCTTCTAACTTGAGATTTTTTATGTAGTCTTTTTAAAGTTTTCAAAAATAGTTTTAGTTTCCTGTTAAATGTGTAATAGCCATATGCTTTTATCTCTTTTTGCTCTCAAAACACCATTAAATGGAAAAAAAACAAATGTTTAAAGTGTGTATCTACAAGGACAATAAGTAAGGGGACATTAGCATAAGGATCTCAACAAGGATGTCAGGGTGCCCTGTTGCTCATCGTTAAACATTGACAATTTAAGTAAAAATTGTAATATGTGTATATTGAGAATATGAAGAAGCAGAAGTGAGGAGATGTTGAAACACTATTGCTAAATCCTTACACTAACAGTAAGAAAACAGATAACACCTAACATAAATCAAGAAATAGAACTTTTAGTGTATTCTTAGGTACCAGGAAGTAAATGCCAGAAGCAGTAATGACTCTTTTCCCAGGGACTGAATCTTGAGGTAGGATGTAATAAAGGTTATTATTGTATTTGACTTTGCTGCAGGTTTTACTTTTTTAAAAAATTGTAATAAAGTAGATTTAAAAAAAAAACCCTTCTGTTAGTGCTAACACTGTATTATGAACTCGTACAGAGTTCCTTTAGCTAGTTTATGCTATGTTATATAGAAATTATTAAATAAAAATGCCTTGTAATGGAATTCAGTGCTGAATCAGGGTAGCAGATCACAATAAGTGTAAAAAATGCTTAGAGTTTGTGCATTTGTATCTCCAAAGTTGTACCTAAGAGAAAAGCGGTCTAAAATGGTGAGGATTTGTTAACCAAAGCATTTCAAAGGGAGAGAGCTGTCACTGCCAAAGTCCTCAACAATGAGCTAAAGAGAAATGTGGAACATATGCTCTTTTTTGAAGCCTGTTTCTATAGCTTTGAATAAAAATGCAGGAAAATGACTCTTCCATTTTCATATTGAGTAAGAGCAGTGATTCTCAACCTGGGCAATTTTGCCTCACTCCCACCCCCAGGGGACATTTGGCAGTATCTGGAGACATTTTGGTTGTCACAATGGGCAAGGGGGGGGGGGCGGTTGGTGATGTTGCCGCAAATGTACAGGATAGCTCCCACTACAGAGAGTTACCTGCTCCAAAATGTCAAAACGCTGAGCAGGTTAACATGCAATAATTGAAGTCTTTTGTGGACATTTCAAAAAATGGAACACACGCTATCTTCATATAAGGTTTTTCTTTTCTCTCTTAGAGGAGGTGGAAGCATTATTCTTAGTATTTGATAGGTAAAATCGACTGCTGAAAAGACTGGCCACATATATAAGGCAGTCAGTATTCTTTTATAGTAACTAGAATAAACTCTTCAAGTGGGATTTTTTTCCCCAGTGGCCCCAGAATATTAGTAGAAGTTACTTTAGAACCTGAATTCGTGAGATGACTATTTCATCCATTCATTCATTTAACATAAAGTGTTTGTTTTGTATCTACTGTGTGCTGGGCATTCTGGAAGCAATGGGGGTACAAAAATGAGTAAGACGTTGACTCTGTCCTAAAGCTCCAAAACTGTCCTGACACAGAATCCCAAGGCATTTGGAGACAAACCCTGGGTGGTCAGAGGCAACCTGCGATCAAACATATGAATACATTTTCTTTTAGGAGCCCCCTAGATATGCTCCATAGAACCTTGGATATCTGGGACTGACAGCTTTAAGAACTGTTTGCCCTAATGATCTCCCAAGGCTCTCAGCAATCTTTTCATTCTGTGAGTTTTCCACAGCACTCTTAATTCACAGCAGTTTAAGAGAGAGATTTGATACGTTTTCAACAAAACGTTTTCAGATAGCATTCTTTTGACCTGGTCCCTGGAATGAAATGTTTCGGCACTAGTCTAACGCAACTAACCCAGTGCTTCTAGGATATACTCTAAAGGACTTGTGAAAACGCAGGTTGCTGTGCCTCATACCCAGAGTTTCTGATTCAACAGGTCTGAGGTGAGGCCTAAGAATTGCATTTCTAACAAGTTCCCAGGTGCTGTGGATGCTGCTGGTCTGGCCACACTTTGAGAGCCATTTCTCTACACCAAAAAAAGCTATGATCTCTAACTGGAAAGTTCTCAAAGCCAGCAATTGTGATATAATTTTCCCA